CAGATAAATCTTTGAATTTAATAATTTGGAAATCTACCTTGTTTTCCCCATGTCTTAAGAAAACTTTACCACAACCTCAGAAATTTACTAAATTATTCATAAATACTTTATCTATAGAGTGTTGAGTAATCGCATATCTCAATTGTATTTGTAATCCATATTTCATAGTTGAACTTTTAGTAATTCTTATACTAAAACATCCTTCGGCTGCTGTAAAACCAGCTACTCAATTAGAATTTAGAACAGAATTTTCATCTAAACGTTTTGGCCGTATAGCTGGTATAATATCGGGAAAGGCTGTTTTTAATGAAGCTGATAAACCTAAGTTTAGAGAAGCTCTTAAAGAAAGAATTTTATTTAAACCAGAAAGAGTTAAATGTTCTTTCTTATCTAATAAAATGACAATATCATGAAATAATTTGAAATCTTCAGCTTTTTTAGTTAAAAGGGGATATTTTTCAAAATGAGATATAATAATTTTTATATCTTTTAAAGATTGGACCATATAATTACTAGAATTTTGTTTATGGTAAATTTCTCCTACATTTCAATATTTATGTATTTTTTCTAATAAAAGTAAATCTTTATTATGCAATCCTATTTGAAATACCGGTTGTACAGTTCAGCCTGTTTTCGTTGTATTACTTTTAGATATTCTAACTGTAAAATTGGATTCGCCATCAGCAAATCCTGTTACAAATCAAGGATTTAAGGTATTAATTGATAAATTAGTCGTGTGTCTCAAAAATCTTGTTGTTTGTATTGTATTAAATTGGTTAGAAAGGACTTTTATTCGATAGTTTTTTTCAAAACCCATTAGAGTATACCTTAAATGTGTAAATTTGTTATTATAGACACATCTATGACCGTCTACTCGTTGCTCTTCTACAAATATATTACTATTTGATTTAGATCCGCGATTATCCATTTCACTTTCGTTCATCTTTTGGCTTGTTACTATACCTGAGTAATTACTTCAGCCACCCAAATATTTTAATATATGGCTTAGTACCAAAAGCTTTAGGAGTTCCCCGGAATTTGGTCATATAACCCGATATAATAGAGGAATCCTACTCCTCACAGCAGGTGAATTTGTTTTATCTAATAATTCGTCATGTTCTTTATTATCACTAGTATAGCAATATAATGAATAACCTATAGCTAATAATATAATAAATGCATTTAAATTACTAATTATATATTGAGTTAAATAAAATATAAGTGCTTGTATTGATTCAATACTAGAAATACTTAAAGCTAATAACATAAATCCAATATGTGAAATTGTACTATAAGCTAATAATCTTTTAATTCTAAATTGAGTTAAACCTACTACAGTACCTACAACTAATGAGAATAATGAACTAATTAACAATATAAATGTTCAATTATTCATAGTGATATCTGCATTAGTATAATATACTAATTGTAATAATAAGATTAATATAGATACTTTAGCTATTAATGCTACAAAAGTAGTAACAATAGTAGGTATAGCATCATAAACGTCCACGGTGGTTAAATTTATCGTACAAATTAAATAAAAAACAATTTTATTTCGTAAGTTACTAGCTTACGCTTCTACTTTTATTCATTCCAGATCTTATTTTACGAATAAGGTTAAAACCTTCTGTAGTTAAATGGTCTTTATTTTGTATCATTTGCGCTATTTTAGCTCAATCTTCAAAATCTTGTTTTTTTACACCTATAACAGGGTATTTGTAAAAAAAAGGTAATATTTTTTCATAGTTATCTTTGAATGATTGGCATCTAAATTCAGTATATTCTTTATATGAATAAGTATTACCACATCCAAAATAATCTATCAAACTTTTTAATAATAATTCATCTCTAATATGTTGAGTTATTATAAAAAGTAATACTACACGACTTCCTGCTTTATGTAATTTAGATTCTCTAATACTAACTTTAAAACAACCATCCCCTGAAGCAAAACCAGCTATTCACATAGGATCTAATTTTACATTTTTTAAAGATGATCTAGATAAAGTTAAAGGAATAGTATTAGGAAAAGCTTCTTGTAATAATGGAGTTAATCCTCTATTAATAGAAGCTCTAATATTTATTATTTTCTGTAAACCTTCTTGACTTAAATGCTCTTTACGTTTCATCATAAAAACTACTTCTCTAAATAATTGATAATCATAAAATTTATTTGTTTTTAAAGGATATTTATCAAAATGAGGTATTACTTGCATAATAATTTGATCTAAACTGCTTATTACATAATCACAGCAATTGTTTCTTTCATTACTTATTCTTCCTACTTCGTTAAAATGAGTTTGAATCTGTTTTAAGATATTTTTATCTTTAGAATGAAGATTTATCACAAAATTACATTCTAATTGTCAACCTAATTTATTTTTAAGTGATTTACGTACTGTGATCATAAAACATCCTTCAGCGTCTGTAAATCCTGTAATAAATCAAGGTTTTAATTGTAAAATATTATTGTCTGAGTGATAAAATTGTTTTTGAATAATTTGATTAGAAAGGATTTTAACTTGATAACTTCTTTCGAAGCCCATTAGAGTACATTTTAAACATGGAAATTTATTTCCATATCAACTATCATTTACTCGTTGCTCTTTTACAAATAAATTATTATTTGATTTAGATCCGCGATAACTTATTTTGTTTTCACGCATCTTTTGACTTGTTACTATACCTGAGTAATTACTTCAGCCACTTATAGCCTTTCGACTATAGTTTAGTATCAAAAGCTTTAAAGTGTTCCCGGAATTTGACAGTTTACTCCCAACGGTTAAAGATTTCCCAAGTCTTTTTTCAGGAGATCAGAAATGAAATGGTGCTGCACTAATTTTAAATAAAAATCCCACAGTAAATATAACTAAAGATAAACTTATATAATTAGGAGAATATCATAAATCATTAGATTGTATATCACTAATACTTGTAATAATATATAAACTATCTAAACTAGTACTACCACTATTAGCGTATAATAATGCAGTACCCAATAATATAAAACAAGAACTTAACCCTCCTAATAGGAAATAAATTAACCCTCCAGTAGTAGATAATTCAGAGTTTCTATATATAGTACTTAAAATATATAAACCATAACTTTGTAATTCAATAGATAAAAATATAGTAATTAAATCATTACTAGACATTAAGAATATAGCACCACTAACAATAAATAATATAATTAACGTAAACTGGATAGCTTGCGTAGTCATATAAATTCTAAATAAACTTTACTGTTTTATCTATTATACATAGCATCTTTAATAATTTTTATTAATGCTACACCTTCATGTGTTAAATGCATTCTATTTTCTATTAATAAAGATACTTCTTTAAATCTTTCAAAATCTAATAATTTTATACCCGATAAATTATATTTTTTTAATAAAGGGATTAATTTTTTATTTAAATCTGAAGATTTAGTTATAATTAATTCAGCTGCGTCTCGATTTGACGATCTTCTCACTATTCCACAATCTAAGAATACAGCAAGTCTATCTAACAATTCTATATCCTTAATATGTTGACTTAAAGAGAAAGCTAAACTTATTGCATATCCTGCTTTTCTTTTCTCATGTGCATAAAGAGAAATAAAAAAAGAACCTTCTGCAGTGATAAATCCTGCAATCCAATTAGGATTAAAACTAAAAGGTAATTTAAATTCAGGTAAAATAATAGGTTGAATTTCAGTAAATTTTTCTTTAACAGCAGTAGGTAATCCTTTATTTAAATTTACTTTTAATGAGAAAATTTTTAATAAACCGGGAAGAGTCTTATGTTCTCCTTTTACCATAAGAAGTACTATTTCCTTAAATAATATATAATCTTTTAATTTTTTAGTGACCAAAGGAAATTTATCAAAATGAGGTAAAATGTATTTATCTAAGTCTTTTATAGATCCTACTGTATAATATACTATTCCTCTATTACTTGTATATATATTACCAATTTTAAAAAAAGCTTTAATTTGCACTAAAAGATCTAAATCTTTTTTATCAAGTCCTATAGTAAACACAGGTACAATTTTTCAACCTATTCCTTCTTTTTTTTTAGTGATAGAAACAGCAAATGAACCATCTCCATCGGTAAACCCTGTTACAAATCAAGGATTTAAACTAAAACCCTCTTTTACAAAAGATTTAACATTTTTCTCTGTGTTAAGATTTACAGTTGTTGAATATAAACGTTTATTTAGAATCTGGTCTGACAAAAATCCAGATAAAGTAATTCTTTCGAACCTTCTAAGAGTACACCTTAAATTATTAAATGCATAACGATTTAATAATCAACTGCCGTCTACTCGTTGCTCTTTTACAATTTTTAACATAATTGACTTAGATCCGCGATTGTCCATTTTTCAAGAAGAGCTTGCTTTTTTTAAAATAGCTGCTACTGCCTTGAGAGTTCTTGAAACATACATCTCATTAATATTATACTTATAGCTTGCGCAGTAGAATAATAGAACCATCTTTTGACTTATTACCATACTTGAATAATTAGTTCAACCACCACGGAAAATGTTTTCCAGATTTGGTATCAAAAGCTTTAGGAGTTCCCCGGAGTTTGACAGTTTATCCCGTAATTTTTTTAAAATTGTTTGTTCAGGATATTCTATAATTTTTAAATGTTCACCCATTTTATTAATAATTTTAGTATTATAATATATAAATTTATTAAACAAAAGATCTTTTATTGAAGAATATTCTGATACTCATACTTTTCTAGGGTAAAAACTAGTTAAGGTTAAAATAAAAATAGTAACAATAAAAACAAAAATATGAAATATTTGTGTAAGATTATTAATTAATAATAAACCCCCATGTAGCCCTATTCCTTTAGTTACTACAGTTAAAGAAGTATAATCATGTACTATACAATATAGTAAAATAAGTATGGCTATTCTATTATATAAAATAGCTACATCACGTCTTAAATTAACGGCATTCGAAAGTAAAAGAGATAAAATAGAAATAATTATCATAATACTAAGCCTGAGAAGAGAATCGAACTCTTATTACCAATGTATGAGATCAGTGTTCTAACCGTTGAACTACTTAGGCATAAGCTATTGTTAATGTAGCTATGTAAACTAAAGCTATGAATAATAAGGGTGGAAACCCTGGTTCGAACAGGGAACTTGCTATGCCACAAATAGCTGCTCTACCGATTGAACTATAACCACCTTACTGTGATCCCTGCATCGAGCGTAGCGATGGTGGAAGGCTTTATCTCGAGGTGATTCGAACACCCACTATTGAATACCAAAAATTCATGATTTACCTATTAATCTACGAGATATGATATAAATAATAGGAGTCGAACCTATATGAATATAAATTCAATGGCTCCTAAAACCACCCCGTCTACCTATTCCGGCATATTTATATAGGATTTGCAGGAATCGAACCTACATCTTTATGATTAAAAGTCATATGCATTCACCGTTATACTAAAACCCTGGCCCTAGCTATTGCTCGTGATAAGATTCGAACTTACAACCTAAATAGCTTCAATATTTCGCTCAACCAATTGAGCTTCACAAGCTTGGAGAAACTAGGAATCGAACCTAGGCTTTTAACGTGCAAAGTTAACATTCTACCAATTGAATTATATCCCCTAATATCCAAGAAAGGACTTGAACCTTCAAGACCGGAGTCTACAAAGCTTAAGTTTGTTGTGTTTACCAATTTCACCACTTGGACATGTAGGGCTAAAGTGACTTGAACACTTATTATTACTGTTATGAGCAGTATGCTTTACCGATTAAGCTATAGCCCCTATTATATTCTAGTTTGAATATAATTATTATTACATTAATATTATTATACTATTTTTATATAGTATTCTTTATTATTAGGGCGCAAGCTCCTTATTGACTTGTGCGAAGCTGTTTTAATTATTTTTGTTACTGTATGAGAACTAACTTCTAAGAATTTTGCACAACTAGTTATACTATTAAAAGTTTTAAGTACCAATCCTTGAGAATCTATAAGTTCTACTTTAATATAAAGGCACGTCACTAAAGGGTATTTTGTAAATAATTCTAAAATAAATTGAATTTATTTTATATTTTTTCTGTGAAGCGCTATTTTTTTTTATAAAAAAGCTATAAAAATAGCGCAAGCTAGAAGTTATTGAAAAATTGCAAAAGATTCATAAAGTCACTCTTTCTAGACCTAAAGTTTTTTGAATAAAATTTAAGACAGATGCATCATCTAAATGTAATTTTATTAACAATCTAAAGGCAAAAGTATTATTAGTTTTAACTAATAAGAAACAATCTTCAGCTAGCTTGCGCAGTAAAACCTATAAATCATTCAATAAAATTCTCGGATAAAGGAGTTGAATGGATAAATCTATTTTCATATTTTTTTTTTCAAAAAAAATAACGCAAGCTCTGTATTAACAGAGAATAATATACTATTACAGTATTTTGGTCACAGTTGTGATAATTTTATTGCCATTTTTACTTGTTTAAGAAAATGCCCCTTCGTTCTTATCGTTTTCGGTTTCAAGCCATATCCGCTTCACCCATTAGAGTTTAGTAATACCACCTGATTATATTATCTAGTGATTTAAGGACACTTCAGCTATCCCTGGTCAACCGACCGACCTAATTATAAACCTTTTAGATTTTTTTTGTAAAAAAAAATAGCGCAAGCTAGGAACCTTTCTAAGATAAAAGAAAATTTTTTATATTTTCTTACTATGTACTGTTATGATAAGTATGCTTTACCTATTAAACTATAACCTCTTTAGTATTCTTTTTTTTAATCGTTAGTGGCTATATAATAATATATATATATTTCAGAACATTGATTATAAAATACACCTTAACAAATATTGATAATTGATTTAATCTACCTGCTAGCCGAGACTACTTATTTTAGGTATACCACAAAACTTTTATAGTAACAAGGTAAGTAACATTAAATACGCGGACAAAGGAATTGCACCAATATTTTTCGATCATGAGCCGAACGTGTTTCTATTACACTAATCCGCTATAGACTAGACAGGGATCGAACCTGCGATGGTAGCATTGAAAGAGCTATGTCGTAACCACTTGACTACTAATCCTCTAGTGGCCCACGATTTTATATTTATATAAATATAAAGCGTAGTGATGGTGGAGGGCTTTAAAGATAATTTTATAAATTTAAGATGTAGCTTTAGGGCTCCGCTTCGCATAAAAATCCCTAGCCTTAATTTACTATTAAATTTCGTTTTTGTACTCTTTGAACAAGAAAATGTATTTATAATGTCATCGAAACTAGCATCCACTAATTGAATCATTTAGATTTTTTTTGTTAAAAAAAAATAGCGCAAGCTAGGCGTAACCTTTTTTCTAAGAATTCGAATATTATTAAAAAAAAAATAGCCCTTTGGTGATTTTTTTATTAAAAAATAGGCCCAAGGACCTGTATTTTTTCTGCGCAAGCTATAAATCGCCGCGAGGCAAGCTAAGCTACACATATACAAATATATTATATATAGTTAGTCTTGTTAACTGAAGCCCAATGGAGGTATCGCGCCTTCGTCTATTGATTACAAAACAATTGCATTACTTTTATGCTAATCAGGCTATTAATAAAAATGATATATATATACATAGTATTTTATAAAATTAGTACTTTCATCTTACAAATCTCGAGATTCTTACAAAGAAAGCCTATTGTGTATTATTCTAATACATATATTTAAGAGATATATTAAGATAAGCTTCGTGCCTATATGCTTTCAGCACTTATCTTTAACCAACTTAGCTTTCCTGCCGTGCCTATATAATATATTATCCTAGTGAACGATACATCCTCTGTATATATTATTAATATATACATATATATAAATAGTAGTGTATTACTAAATTAGCATGGTATTGATCTAAATATAAATATTTATGCGAAGCGACTAATACTAATTAATAAATATATTAATAGTAATATATTCATGCAATTTATATATTTAATAACAGGGCATATAAACAACAGGTAAACCATAGGTTAGTAACTATAACTTGCCACTTGCTAATAAAAATATAGCAAGTTACAAAATCATTCTTGTTCCTTTCGTACAAAAGTTCGTTCTTATTTTATTCTAATTTCCACTAGAAGATAGAAACCATACTGTCTCACGACGTATTTAACCCAGCTCATGTAACTTTTTAATCGACGAACAGTCGCACCCTACACAGTTTCTGCATCCATGAGGATAAGTTAAGCCGACATCGAGGTGCCAAACCGCGCACTCATTTTGTACACTCTTGCGCAAATTAGCCTGTTCTATTTGTTATCAGAATCTATAGCTTTCTTGCTTTAGCTTTATATATTAGCAATAATTGCTAACCTTAATTTCCTATTCTTTCAAAATGGTTCAGACTATGTCTTCATTTTATATATATATATTGATGAGCTTTAGCTCTAATTTTTCTTAACTTTTTAATTATAGCAAGTTAAGGAGTGGCTGCTGCAAAGCTACAGCACAAAATATTATTTTCCTGATATTCAACCTTTTATAGCAAATGAACCTACACGACGTGTATTATTAGCTATAGAATATGATATATTAGGATTAACATTTCCTCTAAATAAAGTTGAATGTAAAGATGTTTTTTGTAATCCACCTTTTCATTTTCTATAATGAACAGATCTATCTGCTCTATAACGTTTAGTTAATCTACCATTAGTTTCGATTTTTATACCTTCAATGTTTTTATATTGAATTGAATTAAATATTTCTTTATGTATATTTTTATTAGTATTATTATCAGTAGTGTGGCTATTACAATGAGTTTGTGTACAAACTATTAATTTATCTAAATTTTTATGGTTATTTATACTCTCTGGTTTAGCTCAGGCGCTAGTCCTAGGCGAAAGGTAAGATAAAATTTTACCATCTTTATATTTATTTAATATGTAGTTTCCACCTTCACTATGTGTAAGATCAGTATCTGGAAAATTCACTCTACCTAATATACTTAATATATTTTTTTTATAGTTAAATGATTTTCTTTTTTTAAATTTCAAAGCTAAAGCTTGAGTAAATAAATCACTATTAAATATAATAGATTTTAGATTTATTATATTATATTCTATTTTTTTACCTAAAATCTTATTTAATAATAAACTTAATTTATTTAATAAAGTTAATTTATTAAATTTTAATTGATTTAATGAATATAATAATTCATATTTTCTTAAAAAGATTAAATGTCTTTTAAGAAAAGTCTTAATGATTCTACTTCATACTTTTTTTAAGTATAAATTTTTTAATAATAAAAATTTACTTAGATATTTTAATTTATATTGTATAAATTTATTTTTATCTCAGAGCTTTAGCTTGCTAAGTAAGCTAAAGTTAGTGCCTTCAAAAACATTATATAAATTTATTATATTATTTTTATATAAAAATAAATAACGTTGCATTAAATAACTTTGTATTTTTTTGTTCATTTTAACATATTTTTTAAATAAATAATTTCTTTCTCTATTTAATGTAAATAAAGTAATAATTGCTTTATTATTTGTATATTGAATATCTGGATTACTAACATAAATTTTTCTTAATAAATTACGCCTTCTTTTCATAGTAATATATTTACCTGGATATATAAATCTTTTATTATTATTTTTCTTATTAGAAAAATATAAATTAAAATAACTTTGTATTATTTTATGAATGTTAAGATGATGGCTTGGTATATTTTTTATAGTATTTTTATTATAAGAATATATAGTATCTTTTCATTCTTCAGAGAAAGAAGGTAAATACTTTGTTTTTCTTATATCAGCTATTTTATTATTTAAAGTAATTTTTTGAGGTATTTTAGATAATATAAAATGTAGCTTGCGTCTTAATGTAGTATTTGTTTTCATAATAAAATTTTTTTTCTTTTTTGTAGTAATACAATATATAACAATAAAATGTTGGGTAGTAATAAAGGATTATTGCGTTGTAGCTTGCTTAATTTTAGCTTACTAAAAGCAAACTAAGTAGCAGCAAACTATGCATAACACTCACCATATAGTCGTTGAACGTTTTTATCTTATATTATGCTAAGATAAATTTCGCTTCAAGTTTACAATTAATGCGAAAGCTAGTAATTCTTGAAATTTACCCAATTTATAATAATTCTTTTAATAAAGATTAAAGGACAAACATCCCTAGCGTAGCTTTTCCAATAATCCAAGATCTTTCCTTATTGCATCTTGTGATCCTATGCTCTGCTTACGCAACTGTAAGATTTGTCGATAATCAAACAGTAAGGCAAGATTAAGCCGTTGAGCTTTTTAGATATTCAAAACATAATTAGTTCGTATATATATACGAATAACTATAAAACTTTAGTCTTAAGCTTGTAGTATTTTTTATAGCTTTATTTTTTTTTATTAAAAAAAATAGCACGAAAAAAGAACTACCAAGTACTACATAAAATTTTAAATTATCTCTAATTTCAGTATAGTCAAAATCTTACCTAAATTTTCGATATAAATATAAGAGTATAACTTGTAAGGCGAAGCCTACCAAGTATTACAATAGAATTATATCAAAGTGAATATGATTTATATAAAAATAGCAAACAAAATAAAAATAATTATTAGACACACCTGTTTACTCTTTACAGGGTCTGTGCCCCACATAAACTGTCTCCTAGTAATAGTTCCTTTCCAAGGTTACCTATTTCTTAGTAAACTAAGAATATAGGTTGAACTAGGATGATATACTAACGCTTGTAGGTATATCAATTCATTCAAATGAAGAATAAAAATAAAGGTTTCTCATATATATTTAATCAATTCCCTTCTAGTCTGAAAATTTTTCATCAAAATCTATCATTAGTAACAGTAAAGCTGCAAAGGGTCTTCTCGTCTAACTAGTGGTAAGCTGTATCTGCACAGCTATTCCAATTTCACTGAGTCAATCATAGAGACAGCTGTTGTATCGTTACACCATTCATGCAAGACCGCATTTAACGGCCAAGGCATTTCGCTACCTTAGGACCCTCACGTTAAGGCCGCCTTTAACCGGGGCTTCCGTCAATATCAAACAGTAATATATTCAATTATCTCTGTTAGCCTGCCGGCACCGGGCAGATATCACACTTTATACATAGATTTTTAATCTTTAAGCAAAGTGCTGTGTTTTAATTAAACAGTCGTACAACATTATTTTATGTTTCTTCCTTTTTACCTGATATTAATCAAGAATAATGAGCCCTACTTATCCCGAAGTTACGATAGTCAATTTGCCGAGTTCCTTTATGATTGTTATCTCAATTACGCCTTCGTATACTCTACTAGCTTACCGTAGTCGGTTTCTAGGTACGGTTACTATATCATGATATTTCCTGTACATTTTTCACTAGATAAATGTCGTTTCATAATAAAAGATTTTCTCATCGCTTCCATCTTTAGATAAAAAGCTTAGAGGCCGTTACTTAATTCTAACCATAAGCTTTAGGCGGATAGTAGATCTTGTAAGCACTAAATAAGATCTATTATTTAATGTATTTAGATAATTATTCTTTTGTATTTTTATAGCTTACTAGGCTACTACTAAGAAAAAAATTTCCAAAATCTACTATTCTTTTCGTTACTCATGTCACCATTCTCACTTGAATTAACATAACAAATTTATAAACTTGCTATTTAGCCTAATTCAACGTTCTGCTACCCCATAAATATGCAAGAATCCCTGCATTAATTTATGGACAAGGTTTCGGTATATTGTTTAGATCCGTTATATTTTCGATGCTTTTATAACTTAACAAGCGCTCTGTTACGAGGTCATAAAATTATGGCTGCTTCTAAGCCTATCTCCTTGTCGACTTTAATAAAAACTTTCTTACTTTCACTTAACAAATAATTTAGGAACCTTAACTCTTGTTCTGGGCTGTTTCCCTTTTGACATACACGCGATTTGAACTTACATACTAAATAAGTTCAAACTTTCTCCCTAAACAGCTCATAATATTCATTATGAACTATCCATTTAGACAACAGGTTATATAACCTGATTTCATCCTTGAAATTAAAGTAATTTTTTTTATTATTATAATTAGTACTTATTTGTGTCTACCGCCTTTCTGAAACACGATAAAATCCTTTAACCAGACTTTCTCTTTTGATTGCGTTTCGTATAGCTTGTCTTTTTATACCCAAATATTCACCAGCTTTAGTTAAAGTTGGGAATTCTAATTCTTCATTAGTTTGAGTATTTAAAAGTGTTACAGCTACTCCTTCACGTTCTGTTGTTTTAGCCGTTATATTAGCTAAAGCTTCAGATGTAAGAGTATTATGTTTTTTATAATTAGTAGTTGCAAGAGATAATTTATCTCTAGTTTCTTTACTAACTTCTTTTCCTGAATGAACTGCAGATAAAATATCTTTAAGTTCTTGCGATACTTCTTTTAATTTAAGCTTCGCTATGGTTTCAGGAGTATGTTTATAACCTAATAAGGAATAAGCATATTTTAACACATTATATTCAGGATTTAATAAATCCATATAATACTGTTCTCTTTCTATAAGCTCATCTGCTCTGCAATATTCTACTATTTCTAATAGAAAATTTTCATATCCGTATTTTAGTAAAGCAGCATGTATAGGTCTAGGATTTCTCTTTAATTCACTATTATTTAAATATTCCTTAATTCTTTTAGATAAATCTAGACCACTTCCTATATAAGTATTATTATTTAATTTATTAATTCAACGGTATATACCGGATTTATTTTTATTTTCTAATACAATATTATTTTTATTTAATAAAGCATTATCATAGCTTTTGACAGGAGCTATTAAACCTTTGTTTAATAATAAAAAATTTTTTTCTGTGACTGTTGATGTTATTTAAATATAAAAGCCGACAGCTTAGTGTTTGGCTCATACCTAACATGGGCATTAATAATAAATATTCAATGCTCATCTCTCAGATTACTGATGTCACCACCAGATCCGGCTATGAAATAAATTCATAGCAAGCTTTGCAACATCTTTTCTTACAGTACCTTAACCTATTAACACTATTTAAATAGGGTGTCAGCCCACTTAAATCAGTTACCCTTCGAAAAGTAGTCGCCTGTCGTATTAAGTCTTTTGTAAGAACCGGCCTATAAATAGCTTAACTATCTATATATATATTATAATAAATCAAAAAATTACTTTTTTGCCATTGTATCCTTTCAGATAAGGCCTGACTATATCTTAAGCTTGCGCCAACCAACATTTAGTCGATGAACTGCACACCTTTACTATATTTAAGCAGTCGGTGCTTGGCTGCAGATTACCCATTTAACTTTATAATCAATCATGATTTTACCATACCTCGAGTCATTACCTGAGCCATAAGATGTATTACTACTCTTACTTGGTTATGATTGCTTTAGGGCTTTCCCGCAATTTGATGGTTTATTGCAAAAGGTTTACTTTTACAAAAAGGCTGTAATCAACCTTATCATTCTATGTCTGATCATTCAAGATATATCTTTGCCATTTCGAGTCTACATACTCACTGATAAAATCTTCACGATTCCCCAATTTGCGCAATATAACACTGCCTGAGATTAAATTCTGTACCTGCTAAGATATTTACTTAAATTGCCTACTGTTATAGGTTTCGCAGAAAACCAGCTATCCTAGTCAGTATTGTCTTTCACTATACCTACCACGATTCTTCGGAGATTTTTGCCACAATCACCCGTTCGGACTTTTATAATCCTGATCATAGTAAAATCACTAGGCTTCGGGTCTAACTTTAGACACTAATCGTTATTTTAATGTTTGGTTTAACTACGAAATTTTCTCGCATCTAATGTTAACTTGGTGACCCATTATGCAAAAGGTACGTTCTTTAAATTAAATTTATTAGAACTGCTTATAAAATTACTATTAACTTCTAATTACCTCACGGCCCATTATCTATCGCTTATGTATCATATTTAGTCTTTGAGGAAGGTTCCCCGTTCAAACAGTTTATAAACCATTTTACTTAATAGACTTATCTACTTTCGCTCACGCTATTCATAGAATCTCTTTTGATTTCTTTTCCTGAAGTTACTGAGATATTTCACTTCACTTCGTTTATTATTAAATTTATTCTAGAGCTTATTAACTAGAAATATATAATATTCCTTTTTATATCAAATTTGCTCTCCTTAATACATAGCTAGAATTGCATAATAATTTCTTTACATACTTACATTACTTGTTAAAGCTAATAAGTATAATTTATATATCTTATTTTTATTTCTAAATGTTCTAATATTCGGATTATTATGAATCGAACATAACTAATCTCCGTCCCAAACGAAGTGCCTGACCGCCCGGCCCTAATCCGAATTTATTATACATACAAGAGTACTTGGATTTGAACCAAGAACCTGAAGGTTGAAGCTTCGTATTTTGCCTATTAAACTATACTCTTTCAGAGAATATCCGATTCGAACGGATGCAGGTTTATCACCTAATAAAACTCAAACTTATCGCCTTAAACCACTCGGCCAATTCTCTAGCTTTAGCTTGCTTAACTTGCTGAGCAAGCTAACAATAATTCCTCCGCGAATTGAACGCAGAACTTATTATTATCAATAATATGCTTTACCGATTAAGCTAAGGAATCTTGTTAAGGAATGCAGGATTCGAACCTACAACTTTTTGTGTGTAAAACAAATGCTCTACCAATTGAACTAATTCCTCTACCATTTATGCGAAGCCATTTATGTTAGCTTTAAAAATGCTATAGTTTTAGTTTACCTAGCTCTAATGGGCTATGCCTACTGCGTAAAGAGCTTTATTTCATATTAATTGTTTTCTTTTTTATAATTATTACTATAGCACCTTATTATATTAATTATAGATAATTTATATTTGTATTCATATTCTCCCTTAGTTTATACTTCGTGTCAATTAACAAGTAGAAACCCCAGGACTATATCCTTTATATTTTTTTCTGCGCAAGCTATAAATCGCGCAAGCTATAGACGCTGAAAATGAAGATTATCCTTTATAAAAAATAGGAGAAAGCTCAGCCAAGGGATAAATGGTATATATTTTTCATTATGTTATAGCTAGCGCAGACGTTTTTTTATAGCAGTTTACTCATTTCTACTGTCTTGTTTTATTGTTATTATTATAGCACCCGTCATTGCTAATAATAATATTATACTTGATAAGAATAATCACATATTATATGATGTATATAATATATTTCCTATTGTTGAAATATGACTTGTTTCTGTCATTGTACCGTCTCAGTTGTTACTTGTTACAAACATTATATTACTTGTATCGATGTTATTGACAGTTTCTAATATATTATTATAATTATAAGATCCTAATAATCAATTATTAGTATTTATTGATAAAGTATAAGGTAATAATTGGAATAAGCTGTAATTTCATAATATACCTATAAATAAAGCTAAAGGTATACTATTTACATTATTACTTTGTAATTCACTTGTTCTTATATTAATAAGCATTAATATAAATAAGAATAAAATAGATACTGCTCCTATATATACTATTAAATAAGAAAAACCAATAAATGTTAATCCTGATAATATTAAATAGACTGAAATTGAAGCAAATAACCCTATTAAAAATAATAAAGAACCTATAGGGTTTTTATTTATAATTACAGTTATACCGAATAATACTGCTATAACACTTAATATATCTAAGAATTCTACAGTATAACCTGAAAAATAATATTCATGTATAGATCAAATCATAGTTAATTTATAATTGGTTAAAAAGATATAATATAATATTATGATATTAAATATACGGGTAGTCAGAATCGAACTGACACATTTCGGGTGGAAAGCGAAAAGTCTACCTTTAACCTATACCCGCTTATCTTAATAATAATTATTAAGATATATATCTTAAGTTTCTATATTAAGAACCTCAATAATACATTGATACATATAAGAATAATCAAACTACATCCACAAAATGTCAGTATAATATACCTGCTTCATAACCTAAATGGTGATGATCTGTTAAATGATATGATATAATTCTTCATAGACCTACTGCTAAAAATATTGTACCTATTATAACATGTAATCCATGGACGTTAAATTTATTAAAAAAAAAGTTAAACTTTTATTTCCATTTCTTTCAAAATGGATTAGACTATATCATCAACTTATATATAAGTTGTAAGGTTTTCATGGTAAGATATTGTTGATATATTCACTTACTAGTCGTTGAACCCTTATAAATCTATTTTCATATCTGATTTATAGTTGGCTGCATATTGTAATAAAATTAATAACTTATTTAATAAGCTAATTACTTTAATAGTTTCACGCAATTTACCTTATATTTGTTTATTTATTTAACATATTTATTTATTTTTTCTGCGAAGCGCTATTATAGTTTTTCTACCTTGTTCTGTTAAATGTTCTTTATTTAACATCAGTAAAGATACAGAGCTTGCGCCTTAAATTTATTAAATTCATATCTCTTTTGAGTTATTAAATTGTTATCAAACATAGGTATAATTTCTTTGGTTAAATTATTTAAATCATATACTACTAATCTAACATCCTCTCTAGTTTAGGTTGTTCTATAATTCCGCATTTAATATAATCTTTTATTATATTAAATAGTAGAATATCCCTATTATGTTGACTTAAAGAAAATACTAAACTAATTTGATTGGATTTAGCTATTTTTATATAAAAACACCTTTCAGCATCAACAAATCCTATTAATCATCAAACAGATTTAATAGATTGATTTGTAGTTATACCAGGAATAGATACTTTAGGGATGTTAGGATATAATTTTTTTTTTATTGTAGTATTTAAACCTTTACCCATAGAATTTTTTAAAGATAATATTTTTAATATACCTTCTTTTGTAGCGAAGCACAAATGTTCTTTTTTACTCATTAGTTCAACTATTTCTTTGAAAAATAGAAAATCTTTTTGTTTTTGAGTAATTAAAGGATAATTTATATTTTTTTTTTCAAAAAAATCGCGCAAGCTCTGTGGTATAATTTTTGATATTAAACTATCATAATCTTGAACACTATAAATTACTGTTGTAACATCATTTATTGTTCTAAATATAATAGATCCTACACCAAAAAATTCTTTTATCTTTTCTAAAGCTTCAAGATCTTTTTTATGTAATTCTATAGAAAAAATAGGTAATACTCTTATATTTATTTTTCTTGAATTGTCTATTGTTGTTCTTATTGAAAAAGAAGATTCTTGATCAGCAAAACCTGTTATTCAATAAGGTTATAAATCTTTATTTTTATTACTATAATATCTTTGAAAAATTTTTGTTTTATTGTTAAATAGAATATGGGCTCTACAAATTAACCCTGTTCCAAAAAAGAAACATGTACCAAATACACCGTCACTAATAGTAAATGATGATACTGAATACTCTATACCTTGGAAAACAGTGAATATTAATGCTAATATTACTGTAAAGATACTTCCATATATAGCACCTTTTCTTTCACCTTTTATTAAAGAATGGTGAGCATATGTTATAGTAGCACCACTACTTAATAATATAACTGTATTTAATAATGGTAATTCAAAAGGATTTACAGGTTCTATACCCATAGGTGGTCATTGAGCTCCTAATTCTACTGTAGGTGTTAATGCACTATGGAAGAATGCTCAGAATATGGCTGCAAAGAATAAAGCTTCAGATACTATAAATAATATAACACCTAAATTTAATCCTTTTTGTACAGCAAGGGTGTGGTTCCCTAAGTAAGTACCTTCTGCTATAATATCTCTAAATCATAATGTCATAGATGCTATAACTGTAGCCATAGCTATAAAGAACACTATATAGCTATTACTAAATAAATGCATAGATAATGCACCATTTACAGTTAAAGTAAACAATGATATACTTGTATATAAAGGTCAAGGACTAGGAGATACTAAATGAAAAGGATGATCTTGAAAATGATTTCTTGTTAAATTTGTCATGTTTTTTGTTATTAATTTTCTAGCTTAAGTTTACTGAATAAAGATTTCTTTATTTATATATGAGTCCTTAAAATGAATCGAACATTTATCATAATATTAACAGTATTATGCTCTACCGTTGAGCTATAAGAACTTTAACGGAAAAAAGGTGAATCGAACACCTAAATGTAAAAACATAACACATAGCAAGTGTCTTACCCTACCAATGGAGATTTTTCCTGTGAGTTAAAGCTAAACCACTGCTTTACATAGTGTTTTAAATTAATCTCGACCTAGATCAGCATCGAACCGACATCTATTTCCGTGACAAGGAAATCCTTTACCTATTAAGTTACTAGATCTAATAGGAGACGAGGGATTCGAACCCTCAAAACATTATAATGTACTAAATTTACAGTTCAGCCCTTCTTACCAATAAAGGAACCCTCCTTAAGAGTAGCATTAAGCTAACTCTCTTATCTATTGTTCAGGATCAATTATTCCCGCGCAACTTCCACTACGCGAACCGTATTTCGACTTAACACTAATTAGAGCTATACATACGAAGAATTTTATAATAATATATACAAAATCTAATTATTTTATTTTTTTATTATAAAAGAGCAAACTTATTGTATAAACTCCTTTCAGCATGCGACGAGTGGTTAGTACCAATCCGATAAATATTCACCGTGACATGGTGATTCACGATTACTAGTAATTACTTATTCATATAGTCGAATTTCAGACTACAATCCTTTTTATTTCCTATTTTGGAGATTTGCTAGAATTCACATTTTCGCATCTCTTTGTATAGGCTTATGTGGCACGTCTATAGCCCACAATATTAAGGCCATGATGACTTGTCTTACTCCCTTTTTTCTTCCCAAATTATAGGGTCAAATGCTTTATAGTAACTAGATATAGCTTTAACTAAGCCCTAGTTTGTACGAACAAAAATAAAGCAAGGGATTGTGTTAATTCATGGAAACCACAGTTTCACAACATCAACTGAAGACAGCCGTGCAACTCCTGTAAAATATACAAATTGTGGTAAGGTTTTTCGTGGATCATCGAATTAAACAACATACTTCACTACTGGTGTCAGAAACGGTCTAGTGATTTCAGTTCCTGCGTTGCCACATTACTCTTGAGGTGAAATGCTTACATTTTCATTTATAGACTAAATTTTTATCTAACCTATGGCATTCATCATTGACTGCAAAGACTACTTGGGTTACTAGTCCTGTTCGTGACCTATGCCTTCGTCCTTCAACGTCAGTTATTACTTAGAAGGTTGCCTACGCCTTTTCTAAGTCCCTCCAGTATAACAAAATTTTATCTCTACACTTAAGGTACTACCTTCTTCTATATAACTCTAGTCTTTTGTGTAAAACAGACCGTTTGAGTACCCTTTAAACCTAATTAAGATGAATAACACTAGTCTCTTACGTATTACCGCGACTGCTGGCACGTAATTGGTCAAGACATAATATATATATCGTCATTATCGATATATAAACAAAGTTTCATTCAATACTAATTTAATCTTTAATTTGTGTGTTAAAAAGCTCCGCCTAATAATTAAGCACTATATTTACATATAGCTTATTAAAACGTAGCCTATTACAATACAAAAATAAAGACTTAACACTTCTCCAAGTTGCCAGTTCAGCCGTTAGGCCATTGACCAATATTCCTCACTGCTGTACTAACTTGCATTGGGCTTTTTTCAGACCCAATGTGGTCGATCAACCTTTCAGCTTCGACTACGGGAGTTGAGGCTAGTGAAGACATAACCTTCACTACTACCTATCCCGAAAATATTTATCATCCTCTTAAAGCGGGAATACTTAATCCCTTTATTATATAAAGAATTTATCTTCACTCTAAGGCCGGCATAAATATTATTATACTCACCTGTACACCACTTTTTAATTATGAGCTTTATAGGCGAAGCCTATTAACTTACATGATAAGCTAAACCAGCTTTAATTAAAACGTTCGATTAGCATGTGTCAAGCACTTGGACAGTGTTCAATCAGAGCCATCACCAAACTCAACTATATTACTATATGTTCTAATTTTTTAAAGAAAAGAAATAAACTATATTATGTTTTGTAACTTACTAGCTTTAGCTTGTTAAGTAAGCTAACCAAGCTAATACTATTAGCAAATTATAAATTGAACCTTTTAATCGAAAATTATTATTTTCATTATTTATATTAGTTACGAAAAACCTTTTTATTAATTTCTTATTATAATATTTATATCTTATTATATTTATATTCAATATTATTATTATATAATTTTCCCTAATTACATAATTTTTCTTTTACTTTAATTTTATAGGCGTAGACCATTAAGGCGCAAGCTCTTTATATACTTTATTTAGATTTTTTTCTGCGAAGCGCTATTTTTTTTATAAAAAAGCTATAAAAATAGCGCAAGCGACACTTATTAATTTAGCTTACAATATTAGGCTAGCTTTTTATTGTTATAAGCTATACATAATAAAATAAATTAAACTATAAACTATGCCTATTAATGTAAATCTAATCCGTCTTTAATATATGCTGAAGCTAATACTACAAACACTTGTGCTTGGATAAAGGCTATTACTAACTCTAATCCTGAGAACATTATTATAAATGTTAATGGTATTAATCCTATTATAAAGAATATTATCCCTGAATTCATTATATTATATACAAACCCACTTAATATACTTAATAACATATGACCTGATGTTATATTAGCACCTAATCTTAAACCTAATGATACATTTTTAGCTAAATAAGATATTAATTCGATTGTTACTAATAAAGGTAATAACACTAAAGGACAACCAGCTGGTACTAATAATGAAAAGAATTTTAATCCATGTTCTTTAAATCCTATTAT